AAATAGAAAGCAGATTGTGTTGTGTCTGTTACTAGCACATTTTATAATGTGACATAGTCTTACTTTTATTTGTGTTATTATTTTCATGCTGATGCTGAAGATTGAACTGAGGGTGCATGCCTGTTAGACAAGTATCATGGAACTACATCCTTAGCCTTAGATGATCTTGATTAAATGACAAAACTTTTGTCCTTATTTGTCCCTCCCATCCCATATCATACTACTAGGTGTACACATTTGTTTTCTAAACAAGCCAGGTCCTAATGCTCAGTTACATGTATAGGTAGCTTTGAGATAAATATCCAGGAGTTGAATTTCACCAGTAAATAAAGAGAAATTATTTGAAAAATCAAGGAGGAAATAAGGAAAGAGAAAAATTAATAAAAGGAGGTTGCATTAAAAGGACCTTTCTACATAAACACTCTCTTGCTAATATAAAAATTTGTGACTGATATTTTGTTCTTTCCTTTGGCTAAATGAAATTCTATTGTGTGTATATATACATATATGTAGATCTATCTATCATCTATCTATCTATCTATCTATCTATCTATCTATCTATCATCTATCATTTCTTTGTCCATTTACCTATTAATGAACACCCAGCAAACCCCATGTTTTAACTATTGTGACTAGTGTGGCAATCAGCAATGTTCTCTGGTTATTAATTCAGAATCATGAATAGGATAGTTGTATTATATGTGATTCTATTCTTAGTATTTAAAAATATTTTATTATTTCCTTAAGAATTTTATGCAATATATTTTTATTATATTTATGTACACGCCTTCCCTTAACTCCTCCTAGATCCACTCCACTCTGTCCCTCTTCTCTATCTCTTCTGTGTTTATTTTTTTAAAGACGGGTTCTCACTATACAGCTCTGGATGTACTGAAACCCACTGTGTAAGTCCGACTGGCCTTGAAATCACAAGAGATCTATGAGGCTCCAAAGGATGCTGTAACGATAAGCGACACACCTACTGAAAGTAAACTAAGTATTTATTGTAGAAATTACTCACAAGATACCAAACAAGTAACCCAGATGAGCCAAGTAGTTTTCCGCTGCCGAACTGGAAGCCGAACTCCGGGAAAAGAGACCGAGACTTCCTGTGTGCTGTCTTTTATGCCTTCCCCCGTAACGCCCCCTAGTCCTGCCCAAAAGTGGGCCTGTCTAGTGATGTAGTTCACTGCCTATGTACGTATATGTCTTTAGTCATGCCTAAAGTGGGTGTGGTTAGCGGTGTGGTAAACCGCCCTTTTATTACCTCATCTGTATGCGCCTCTAGTAAGTCACATGGTTAATGGTGGCATACAGACTTCCTCCTACAGATCTGCTTGCCCCTGACTCCTAAGTGCTAAGATTAAATACATGAGCCACCACACCTGGATACATTCTCTTTAAAAAATAATCTCTTTACTCCAACTTGTACTGTCCATATACTTCTGGGTATGGTGACAGCCGCTGGAGTGTGCTGACCCCTTAGGAGCTATACCCTTAAAGAAAACTGACTCTTCTTCCATCAGCTATCCATAGTGACTCATTTAGGGGTAGAGGTTTGTGACCTTCCCCCACTCAAACTACATGTCAGAATTTTGGGGGAAGGGGCTTTCAGTTTTCTCTGTGAAACAGTCCTGACTATCCTGGAACTCACTCTGTAGACCACGCTGGCCTCAGACTCTGAGAGATGGTCCTGCTTCTGCCTCCTGAGTGTTGGGATTAAAGGTGTGTGTCACCACTGCCTGACTACAAGTTATAATCTTGATAAGTTTGATCTTGTGCAGGCAGCCACAGCTGTTTTGAGTTCATGAGCCCAGTGGTACATGTGCAGAAGGCACTGTTTTGTTCTAGTCTTCCACAACTTCTAGATTTACAATTTTTTCTCCCCTTTGCCAGCAGTTCTTTAGCCTTGTGTGCACATGTTGGAAGTATGATATGGATATCTTATTTGCATTTGAACATGAGCTGACGCTTATTTGCTGTACTTGACCAGTTGTTAGTTTCTGTATTAACCACCATCCACTGCACAAAGAAACGACTGTGATGAGGTCTGAGAACTTCATAATCTATGGGAAGGGTAATATAAATTTAGAAAACAGATTGATACTATGTCTATTTAGCAGAATAATAGTAGTTCTTGGCCATATTTACAGTATCAGGAATGTGTTTTTTTCCCCCTGTGGAGCAGGCCTTATATTCAATCAGAAAGAAGTTGGCTATCTCCATAACATTCATGCCATTCTTGCACCAATGGGTATATTTTCCCATGTCAGTTAGCATTGCATTTCAAAAGATTCACAGATGAGTATTTTTGGTATTTTGAGGAAATCCATTCCTCTTATATAGTATTCATATGGTAACCTTTTCCTCACATTCTTGTCAGCACTTGCAATGCTTACTTATTTTGGTAATACCTATTCTAACCAGATAAGATGATTTCATAGTTTTTTGTTTGCATTGGCCTGTGTATCAGATTTTTTCTAATTAAAAAGGGTTTTAATTTTAACATAGTAAAATTGTGTATAACAAAAACAGTTAAGAATTATAGTTATAATATCCTGTCTATTTGTATTTGCTGAAATTAAAGAAAATACTTTATTATCTATCTTATCTTGTGAGTCCAAAGTTTGTGCCTAATTTACATTCTATCACAAGTAAGGAAAACTATGCCTATCTAGTCTTCAACTCCATCAAAAACCCCAGAAGGATATATATTACCTGAGTAAACAGAAAGTATAGTATAAGCCACTTTCAAAACTATACAAATGACAAAAACAGTTGACTTCCTGGACAGTCATCCATGGCTCCTCTGTAATGTTGGGGCATCAGCTTTGGTCTATGATCCTAGAATATCTAAAAGACTTTTTTATGAAGCAGGGAATTCTGAAGGATTGTCCTACTTTGTCTTGACAAAGTTTGGCAGTCTCTTTGCTTCCTGCTGGCCCAGTTTGGACAGTATGCCATCAGCAATTGAGTCAATGTTAGTTTCTTTGCCCAAATGGCTAACTTTTGCCATAAAGAGAGTAGACTCCATACAGAGTTTCTTTGATGCCCTTCATCTTCTTTTCAAGTAAATTGGTGCTGTCAGAAGCAGATGTGTCTCATTGTCATGAAAAGTCTTATGTGATTAAAACATTTTAAATGTCATATTTTGTAGATCTATGAAATGTTTGAATCTATCTAAATATATTTGTTTAACCTTAAAACATACCAACTATTAATATAAGTTTGATTATTGTAGATGATTTTTTTTCTGTTACATTTTTAATTTTTTGCCATTTTTAAATTGAGCTATACAAGAAATTACTCAAAGTAGGTTGCTGGATGTGTATTAAAGCTTGTGAGTAGTTGAGGATTCAGGTTTTATTTTTGCCTGAAAGCATTTCTTTTTTAAATTTTTATTTAAATTAGAAACAATCTTATTTTACATATCAATCCCAGTTTCCTGTTCCTCCCATCCTCCCATGCCCCCCACCAATCCCTCCATCCCACTCCCCCATCCACTTCCCATAGAGGGTGAGGCCTTCAATGGGGGATTATCAAAGTCTATCACATAATTTGGGGCAGGGCCTAGGCCCTCCCCTATGTATCAAGCTGAGAGCATATCCCTCCATGGGGAATGGGCTCCCAACATCCATTTGTGCACTAGGGATAAATATTGGTTCCATTGCCAGAGACCCCTAGACTGTCCTAACTGACACTCATGTTCAGGAGGATTGATTCTGTCCTATGTTGGTTCCCCAGGTATCAGACTGGGGTCCCTGCTTTGTATGCAAACTTTCCTTGAAGCTGGAAGACTGAATGAGAGTATGTAAAAAGATGTATAAAATGATAATAGACAAGTAAATGAGTACTGGGTCATAGCACATTGGCTGTTTAGCAGATGAGGAGGAGACAGAAGAGCAGCCTTGGCAGTTTTGAGCACAGAGAAAGGAGCAGAGGAGGGCTATAAGGGTATAACATTACAAGCCAAAAAATGGATGCTGTGAGGAACACTTGGCCAACTCTTTTGAATTATGCTGATGATTGGTGTAATATAAGCGTATTTGGCTACTTGGGAGCATGAATAGCTCTTCTCTAATTTCCCAAGCTTCTCGTGCCATTAGATATGACAGCATTACTTAGCTTGTCCTGATAGAACTCACCAGTTGAGCACACTGCTTAGTGTTGTGCAATTTGCCCAACTGTTGATCTTCTAGTCACATTTGTTTTTTTTCATGTAAACTAGTGAAAAGGAAGAGTTAATATCAGAGACTGACTACTAGGTATAGTAAGTCTATTATACCTGATAGATGTAGTAAGACTACTATACCACCCACATAAATAATTTATTACAAACAATGGTAAAAATAAGGCATTCAAAATTTCTGCTGTGGATGTAAGAACTGACTCCATAAATGCCTGTTGATGTTCTAAACATCTTCCTCCAATCTGATTCATTACTACCAAGTAGCCACTGATGAGGTTATCTTCTCATTTAGAGTATGTTCAGTTGAAAAATAAATTCATGATTACAGTGACCTTGTAAAGTCTATTATATTCTGGCTCATAAAATAGTCTAGAGCAAATGTTCCAAGATAATCTTCTTTGGATCCCTTTGTTTCAGAAACTCAGAGACCCAAGACTAATCTGTATGTCCCTAGAGTCCTTGACACCCATCTGGAAGATGGGAAAATAGAACAGTCAGTTGCATGTGGGTGAGAAAGAAGAAGTTTTTCAACACTTTTGTATGCAATAAAATTCAAAGGAAATATAAGTCTGCTATATTTCTTTCACTATAAAATGTCAGGTTTTCATATATTAACCCAGACATAATCAATGCGTATGGCCTAGAACATAACTAATAAGTTGCTATCAATGATATTTCTCTTGTATTTTAAATAATGTTCTTACAAATAATTGAGTACCTTTGTTTTATCTATTATCTGTACCTAAAATGTTTGTCTTTAGTCATCAGTGAATATTTCTTTACACCAAAAATGTTCTGTTGAATTTCACAGGGTGAAGACAATTTGCTGTGATTCCTATTTTGTTGTGTGGTGTGTCTGAGTCACAACTATAAACATTTGGTACTGTTTCACCTGAGTTTGGTCCTACATATTGGAAGACCCAGTGTCTCCTGCAGTAGTGCATCTATTCTGTGACTGTAATGTAGCATCACTAGAATTGATGGTAGCATTTCTGGCTTCCACCTATGTCATCTTTATTTTGAAGACGTCTCACTCAAGTCCTCACTCAGACCATTTAATACTTTTCTACAAAAAGAAACAGATTTCCCACTAGTGCTTCCTGGAGAATTCATTTCGGCGTTTGGCAATGTGATGATGTGACAGACAAGGAAAGCAACCTTCTCCAAGAGCTGGGACAGTGGATGCAAATCAGTCATCTCAGCAGTGGATTCCAGACTTCACAGCGAGGTGAGGAAGCTTGTTCTATTTCCCACATTCTCACTGTGTTCCGTGATGATTTCTGATTCCCCACGTTTTCATCCGTGTGGGGCAAGATGGTGAACTCACATGAATCCTTTTGTTTCGTGCTTCAGCCTTAACAACTGAGATGATGAATTATACTGATTTGCATGTGAGGCACAATCGCACTCTAGTTATAACGAACATCTGGTTTGAACTTAAACCATTTTACAGAGCAATAAATCATATTTTCAGAAACTATGTGATGAACAACTAACAAAGCAATATAAATAACTGTATATAGGATAATTATACAATGCTTATATTTATATATACTATATACAATATATAATTACATAATATACTTATAATAAATATACAAATATGTATATTTACATTCTCCACTTCAGCAATAACACTTGCTTCCTCATCTGCAATAGAACTTAAGTGATCATCCTCAGCTTTCCTCACTTAGGGAAGTCCAATTAAAATAGTTACAAAGAGATAAAAGAACAAAAAATGTCTAATTTGTTGAGAAATCGCTGATGAAATTTGGGACAGCTGGTACATCTGACTGGGAAGAAAAGCATGGTGGGTGGCATGGCAAGGCAGTTTACAACACTGGTTGTAAGCTGTGCTGGTAAAGGAGATGCTAACCTAAATATTTAGGCTAGCTCCAAAACCCAAATAACCAAATACTCGAGTATATAGTAAATCCATTAGATTCAGTATCAGCCTCGTGAGTATTAAGAGGGGAAATATCACCATCATGTTTTCTGTTAGTTATGGTTTCCTTAAAATGTTTTAGAATGTTGGAAGATTAGTGTTTTTAAAAGTCTGTGGCTTTTGCAAACTTTAGTAGAACAGGTCAGGGGGAAGCGTAAAGAAAGACAGGAAAAAGAGGAGACAGGATACAAAAATTAAACACATGTCTGTGCTTAATAGAATCAAGCAGATAGCACAAAGAGGACAGGGCACCAAAAAGGAAACAGCTTTGTGCCAAAAGTTTGAAAACTCAGTTCCGGATTACGGAGTTGAAATGTGAATTGACGTGAAAATGGAATTTTGCATGACAGGGACTGTGTGTCACTGTCTAACAGGGAAACACGAGTTCACTTTGTCTGAAATGCCCAGTGATCACTTTGAATTAAAACAAAACGGAACACATTTTCATGCTGCCTAATGAATTATTTCTCATCACTGCTCAGCCAAGCACATTTCCTCTTTTCAATAGATGGGTTGGAAGCAAACATATTTAGGGCATGTGCTAGGGAAAGGCTGCAAACCTCAGCTGTGTAGTTGGGACATTCTGTGGTAAGCTCTGCTGTTCTATGGTCCTATATAAAAGATGCCAGCATCAACTTCCCAAGAGAAAATGTCTCCTCATGGTGCCAAATGTCCATTGGTTGAGAACCTTCCAGAGGCAGGTCCCATGGCATCTTCACTGATAACAGGTGCTGAGGAGATGAGGCAGAGGTGGATGAGGTGAGTGGGAGAACAGCAGCATTAAAATAATAGATGAGAAAAAAATGGAGAAAAGGGAGAGTTTGCACACAAGTCCCAAGACTGCCGTAACACACTGCCTCTATTCACGATGGTTGAAAACAATGCTGGGCTATGATAGCTCACGCCTTTAATACCAGCACTTGGGAGGCAGAGGCAGGCAGCTCTCTGTGAGTTCCAGGCCAGCCTGGTCTACAGAGTGAGTTCCAGGACAGCCAAGGCTATATTACATGGAGAAGCCTGTCTCAAAAACAATAACAGCAACAACAAATGAAATCTGCAATGTTCCTGTTTTGAAGACCAATATCAGAGCACCAGAAGAGTCCTCTTGAGGCTGCAGGTGGGGGAAGCTCCTTCATGCCATTCTCTTCGAGTCTTGTGTGGCTAGCAATATTGGCATCCTTTGTTTATGCAGCATCATAGTCACATACACTGGAAGAGTGAACTTCATATCTGTCTGTAGAACACAAGTCACCATGAGCTTTGAGGAGGAGAAGTTTGCTTCTGTGTTATTGTAGAGAAACTGTTATTGGGAGGATCTGGGATGCAGTTGAAGACTCAGGTTCACTGAGGACACAGCTGCCAAGCAGAAGAAACAGCGTTGGAGTCTCATACCATCACAGAATTTCTCCAGACTCTAAAACATATTGAAAAGTGAAGGAAAGGTTGTGTGTGCTCTTTGTGGTCTTCATGAGTGCATGTGAGCACTGTGGGAAGCCAGACTGTGCTTCTCCAAAGATGAAGGACTGTTAAACAAAAGGAATTAGGGACAATCATGTGTAGGATCCTTCCTCTGTTTGCATTAAAGTAGGATATAAATCTACAAAGACAGAAGGTGTCCTATAGTCCTTCTTACTATGGAGAGCATAAGTTGGCCACTGAGGGTGGCTGCTTGCACAGAGTTTTACAAGAGGAATTGGTATTAACAAGCTCTGTGAAGTAGCCTTTCTCTAATGCCAGAAACTCAAAGTCCATTGTCTTTGACTTGCTACCTCTCTGAAAGTTTAATTTTTTTATGATTTTATGTAAGGCAAGAATTCAACGTTACTTGTTTAACAAATACTCATTCCTTGAGTGTTTTCATATTTATGTGGAATATGTATTTAGTAAAACTACAATTTGAATTTCTCTTGCATATCCTTCTTTCATCACAGTGGCCTGTCCTGCTCACTATTGGGCATGGCACTTTGGAATTATGTAGCAAGTGTAAGTTAGGAAACCTTGAGCAGAATTTAAAACAACAGCCATCACTGCCACCAAACCGAAACCAAGACTTTTACTTAAGTGCAGCCACATTATAAGGAAATCAAAATAATGATGTAGAAGTTTGAAATTAGTAGCTAAAAAGGACTTAGCTACATTCACCTTTCATTAGGAGAAGGAGCTATTATTTGCACAAGGGACATTGGAGGCAGGGAGCTCATAGTCTGTAGAGTTAGAAACCTAAAATGAGATTCCAGCCAGTGGGCACAGCTATCCTGCGGGACTGCTACATGGGACAAGCCGGAGGGGATAAACGTTTACTATCCCCTCTGTCCTATTCAGTCGGTGAAACCCAACCCATAGCTAGAAGGAAACCCAGTGCTGTGGTTTGTCCAGATCAGATCTTCGCCACTAGCTCGTGCTCTTCTCTACCACACACACAGACAAACAAGATGAGGGTGGACCTGAAAACCCAAACTGAAGGTAGGTGGAACACATAAGAAAATTCAAAAGTACATTTTCTTCTCTATATTGTGTTATTATTATTTAAAAAGTAGAATGTAATATTTATTATTCTGGGAAAAATCAACTTTTCATCAGGAGAGTATCACCTGCTCGTTTAATTAACTTTATTAGTTCTTGAATAAAAGCAACAAACATATTCCACAGTGGATCAGACTGTCAGTGCACAGCAGTATCTGTCTCAGATTTGGAAGCCTGGCATACATTACGGGGCAAGAGTGACACTTCTTGAACTACAGTAACATTTGTGGACTGTTCCTCAAATGGGCCATGAGGCCGAAGAGGAAAGAGTAATGCCAAAAGTCAGTACAGGACAGTTCTCATCCCAGCCTTCCTGAGAGCTGGAAGATAATTTCCTTGTTTTTCAGCCATGAAACTATGGATCTAGTCATTTCTTCTGGGCAGGCAATTTTATAGCCTCTGGTTTCTTCTGTTTTGCATGTTTTCATTATATATTCCATTGTTATTCATTATATATCTGCCCGATGTTTTAGTTGCATTTATTGCCATTGGTAGAACATGTGATAGAAGCTACTTAAGGGAGGAAAGACATATTTGGCTCAAGATTTCAGGAACACCAGTGCATCATGGTGAGAAAGGTACATTGGGAGTAGCTGTGTGTGGTTAATTAAGCTCTTGGTAGATCAGGAAGCAGACTATTTGGCTGGCACTAGAAGTAGATAAACCTTTGAGGCTGGATCCCAGTGACTCCTGTTGGCTGGGCCACACATTGCAAATGTTCTTCGATGTCCTGAAGCAGTGCCTCCCATTAGGGACCCATGTGAATATAAGTAAAATGACAGACACAAAGACATTCTAAAGTCTTAATGGCTGTGTCAGCTTAAACTTGTTCTAACCTTTGGTTCTTAACATAGGCCATTCTCTTGTCTAAAAGATTCCTAGCCCTCTTACCTCTCCTATAGATCATAGTTAGCAATGAGATGATTCCCTCGCTCACTTCTTACCAGCCCTGTAAATAGAGCTCCTTCAGTTATTTTCATTCAAAGAATCAATTTCTTTTCATTTATTGTAAATATTATAATTTATGATTATATATTTGTATGGATTTTGTGTATACCTTCTGTCTTCTCTGACTGTAAAGTCCTAGTGGCTGAGTTCATATTCAAATCCATGTAATCTATGTCCCAGTGTCTAGTCCAATGTACTTCCCAGATTAGATATGGTTTTTCAAATGAGTAATCATATCAATCTTTTCCACCCAGCTGTGTAAGTACTCTACCACAAAAGCACAGTATGGCTTATACATTTTCTATTTACTTTTTCTTTTTAGTATACATTTGTACAGATAGTGACTTTTGATTGCAGAATTGGTCTTGGTGTTTAAGAGGTTTTTAGAGATGTTAGCTTTGCTTATTAATTGTTTTCTACTGGGTCAAACATGGGCTGAGGATGAGACTGGGAAAGAGACCTGGAATGACTGAAGGAGAAATTCAGTCATTAAACCAGAGACACTGAAAGAAAGTCAGAGACAGAAAGATAGACAGAAAATCCAACAGAAGAGATTCACTGATCCACAAAGCTGCATAGACAGAAGCCCAGGCAGACACAGAGATGAATGGACACATGGATACACTGTGTGTCAAGAAGGAGATGAGAAATGGAGGGTTAGCGGGAGAAAGGCAGAGAGACGGGAAAGGCTCCAGGGACAAAGGAAGTCATGAAGGTCAGGAGGAGATGAACTGACTACTCTGTAGGGTTTTAACCTGTCAGAAGCCTGATTCCAAGATGCCCCAGGCACTATGCAGCGTGTCCAGTATCAT